GATTTTGAAACACCTTCCCCACCCAAAGTTTTGCCTGGGTCTCTCTCTGATGATGAGCAGAGGGTAGTTCGTTTACCACAGGTGAGAATCTGACCGGAACCCTTTCATGAACAGCAGCTCCCCAGGTGAGCCCACCGGCGAACTGCAGCCTGGCTGAGCTGTGCTGAGCTTATCTGATCTCTGCTGGAAGCTGCCCTCTTGCATATCTTGACAGGTTCATCTCAGCAGTTCAACACTCAGAGCCAGAGCGTGACTGCAGATGCACAGCGCGTTATCGCTGCACAGCTTGAAAAAAACCTGCTACCCTACTGTCTACAGGGTGGGGCTAGCATCAGCTTCGGAGATTAGAATCTGGCCCTTTATTGGTAGGCCGCTAATGCACAGCCACCCTGAAGGCCTCATTCTCCTGCCTCCAACCTTCGCAGCTGGTTTGTCTTCAGCGGCGTGAGGCTGACAGGTTTCAAAATCAGGCACCAGGTCACCTTACTCATACTCATGTGCCGTCTCCCCTCTCAGAACAGAACGCAGGAGCCGGGGGGGAGCGAGACAGAACACCACTTGCACGTTTGCCTCTGCAGCTCTGGGTTCCAGCCACAAAAACTGTGGGCCGAGGGGGAGCATGGAGCAGAAATGTCCTTCCCTGGTAATAGCGTCCCCTGGCACCTGGCTGAAAGGCTGCTCTACAGACCCTGTGAGACAAGAATCACAGAGGTTGGGTGCAGGGTAGAACATGAGGGCCAGGGACACGTGTGCGGCATGTGTGTGGGGGTGTACACCCTCCCACCCCCACCCCCGGTTCAGCAATGGGAACTATGTCTGCACTCCCACCTAGATTATCCCTGCTCCTAGCAGGGATAATCTGCCTGGAACCAGGGGGCTCTGGAAACAGACATTGCCAGTTCTTGTGACCACACAATAACGCTGCTTTGGTGGCAGTGTGAACCAGCTCAGCCATTGTCATGTGGATTCTGCAGAGCAGGGAGGCTTTGTGGGAAAGTGAATGCAGTCCTAACTGTGAGAGAATGCACAGGTTGCTGGGAGGCTACCCCTGGCTTTGATCCATTCTCC